TCAGCAAAACTGGACCCCCATTTAAGACTACCTGATAAATACAATTTTAATGAATACCCTACGCAACCAAGTTGATCTGGGTCTCACCTTGAAGTTCAAAGCATTTTTGTTTACTTGTCCTAGCTAGCTCTTGGGCTTCAATCAGCTCCTTGTGCAGTTGCTGAATTTCTTGCTTAGCCTCAGTCTCTGATTGTGCACCCTGCAATTCATCTGATAAAAGAACATTTTCTTTAAATCATAAATTTGAACAACAGTTTAATTTGCACTGCCACGTGGTGACTGGCAACTTTTTACTCAAATCTTCCAAAGTTAGTTAAAGTAAACTCAAAACTGGATTAGGTAAATATTAGCCAAAATATTAATATACTTAGAAAAGGAATAAAACATATGCGAACTTTAACACATTCATTACATATAACATGCAGTATAAAACAAAAAGTAACAAACAAGAACTAGAGAGTTTTTGAAAACACTGGATAGCTTGGCAAGGATTTCTGGACTGACAAAACCGAGGGACAACAAGCACATGTTTACAACTTGTCTCCTTTTGAAGGAAGCCACTCTAAGCCTGTCCCTGAGCAATGACCCTGCATTCCCCCTTTCCCAAACACCCCCAGCCCAGCCTCCTGCTGAGGCTGCTAATGCCCATCAGCTGCAGGGATCAGGCAAAGAGCTGCTCTTACAGGGTTTGCTACTGCCACCCTCCCTCTGGGGACCAATGAGGAAAGGAAAAAATTAGGGAAGTTTTCTAAAACAAAGTTAAGAAAAAGAGAAGTCCAGCCTCCTTATTTCGTTCTTAGTGAATACTAAAATAAATTCTGCCTTTACATTTATTTTCACTGTCTTAATTAGGTATATCTTTATTATGATCAGATATCTATGCATGTTATTTAAATAAAAACATTTGCTCTTCCCATAAGTTTTGTATTAGCTAAAATGCACATTAAATGCCTCTTGCGTTTATAAGACATGACTTGCAGTCACAGACAAAGTAAATACTTTTATAGCTGAAGTTCTGGAGGAATTTAAAAGAGGAAAAATAAGTTACTTGTAACCAATAGCAGTGCCCTCTAAGGGACACACACTAGAAACTAGATGCAGAAACACTCCAGCCTGCAGGCATTTGCAATGCCAGGAACTGCATCCAGGAAACCCTCATTCACTAGATTTTCCCTAAGCAGTGTCTGTGCAGAAACTGATCTTTCAATAGGCTCAAATAGCATTAATAAACTTTTTAGGTAGAGGGCTAAAACTTGATACAAAGCTTGTTTGGTGAGAAAGGGAAAGAAAGGTAATTAGTGAAAGAAGTCCAGCTGCATCTCATGGGAGAGGGAGGGAAAAAAAAGGTACAGGAGTTACACAGCTACCTGGTTAATAAACATCTGCAACTAGAGACCATATGGATCTAAGATAAAGGCTTTGAATAAAATATTACTTTCATTGTCTGGACCCTTCACTAATAAGAAAAAAAATAAAAAGAAGCTATAGTTTAGTTTGTCATTATACTTTTGACATTGACATTTGACTATATATGCTACCAATAAAGGAACTATACATTTTTTCTTGTTCTCTTAATTAAAACAATTGTTTGTCAAATCATGCTTAAGTATTCATACTGCATCCCTCTAAATAAGGGGCTGTTTTTTTCTGTTCTCACAGTAATGAATTGGTGGGATTGAGTAGAGCTGAGGACACAAGTGTGCTTTTAGACTTTTTCAGAACAAAATTATGAGAGCAGAAAGAACAGAGAGGACCCCATATTTCATCCAAATACCTTGGTTTATAGTTTATTATTTCCAAATCCAAGTTTCTTTTTACTGAACATGTTTTGTTCTTAGCTTTTCATGGATAAAGACATGGGGCAATTAGACTTCCAACACTCCTTAATGAGACTTTTCAGAAGAAATGGATGAGGAAGCTGACAAATTATGCTCCAATCCCTCCTGATAAAGAAGCAGTGTCCTAAATCCAATAAAAGACACCCTAAATGAACTTGCTGGTGGACAGGATTTTCTAGTCATTGAAAGCACACATCATAAAAGACAGTACTGCTTCAAAGGAGACAAGAGGCTCAGTTTAAGGGACAACATTATCATCTGAGCAAAGGAACAATCAAGGTAAAAACTCTTTCCTACTCCAACCCAAAAGGGGAATTTTCATGTGCCTGACATGCTTCTAAATCAAAAGGTAATTTTAGTTTTGAAAAATAATTGTTAAGTGAGTAGGATTGCTCTATTTATAAATAACAAAACTACTAAATGTCATCATGCTTAGAATTAGTTCCCTTAAGAAGCAAATTCACACCATAAAAACCTATTTTGAGAATCAGTGTAAAAGACTGCAACAAAAAAGTATTTGAGCAATTTTCAGAAGTGTTCAGCTTTGGACTGACCATTCTCAGAGAAGGTTAAAGAAGTTATCATTAGTTACAACAAGGTGCCAGAAAGAAATTAAATTAAAAAAAAAAAAGGTCAAATACAACAGTTTGAAAACCCTCATTCATTTATGTCAATACTAAAAATTTAGTATTTACAAACATGAAGATATTAACCAAGCTCTGTTTCTGTTTGCCTTTACACTTCTGTTTTGATAACAGAGATAACACAGAACCACACGTAGGCTGTGGTCTTAATTGATCCCCTATCTGTATGTGCCTGGCCTGTGGAAGCAACTTTATTAGCAGGCTGGTATTTCTCCAAGTCTGACAGTAGTTCACTTCCAGAATTTTGCAGGATTTCTCAGGTTATTCAGAAGACAATACTTGGGGTACTCCAGTGAAATCACACAAACAACTAAAACCCTGAGTTTTCTTTAGTTTTGTAAGATCCACATGAAGGAAACTATCATATATTTAAAGTAAAGTACCTGGCTACTGTAACACAAAACAACAGTTCCCAAACTTTCTGCATCAACAGACCACTGATGATTTTCAAAATTTCTGAGGTAAACTACCACTATTCAGCAAACCTTCAACTGAAAACACTTTCTACTAAGACTCCATGGATCAGTCTTATAGTTACTATGAAAACACAGGGGCATTGACAGGAACAAGACCAGCAACCTTCCAATGACATTTATTGCTTCTTTCCATCTGTTTAACGTTTACCTGTCTTTAACTTTGCAATAAGTAGTCACAAACAGCCTGTTTAAAGAGAAGTGTCCAGGGAACTGTTATGAATGGCTCTTAAAGTCATTTACCTCGCGGGGAGAGGGGAAAGGGGAGAAGAAAAACCAACTAATCTGTGACAGTTTTCCCCCTTCCCCTCTTTGCCTGATTCTGACTTGTAGAAAGTTGAAACTAATCCTGAATGCACTCAAAATTTTTGATAGAAGATGTTTGGATGAAACTAGAGCAATTAGAAGTCTCATAATTTTCTTGTTCCATTGTTTTGTAAATTCCAACAAGACCGCTGCCTTTTCCAGCAGCTGTTTCCACGTCCCAAACAGCTGCCAGATCAGAAATGTTCTCACTCTTCCTTAATTATATGACAGCACGACAAGGCCACTTGAAAGCCTTTCTGTGGCAAATAAGATCCTTTTTAGGGCAAAGTCAGGCACATGAAGTAGCTCTCTGAAAGAAACCTCAACACTGTGGGGGTTTATAGGCTCTTCATAAAAATTAAAAGGGCAAATGATTCATTGTACAGATATTTTGTAATGGTTTCATGAGAGCAAAATAGGAATGTCCATAAATAGCTTAAAGAGGGAACGAGTTATTCCAATTATTTTAGTTAATTCAACAGCAAAGCTCTCTATGCAAATAGGTATTTTTCTACTTGTTCACTTAAAAATTCAGTAACAGTTATGGTTTAAATCTTCAACTGAATAAAGACAGATGAAGCTATGAAAACATCTACATTAGCAAAAGACTGCTTCTATATTACTATAGAAAACTTGATTTTAGTCCTCTAAGTGTTCAACTAACCCTCCTTGCCAGTTTAGCACAGCCTGGACAGAGCAAGTGTAACTACACCTGCCCTTGCTGTGACACGGGACTGTTGCAATGCAGGAAGTAGCAGGGTCACAGCTGCCTGATCCTGGTCTTGGGCTGTTCAAGGAACCTTTCTGGCAGAACTTAACACTTGTCTTGCATAAAAGGAGAATTCAGGAATCCATGGGGTTTCAGCCTAAGGGGTCCACAAACTCCCTTTAATTTGTTTGCAGAAGATAACTAAGACAACGAGCCAGTTGGGACTGGTCTTCAGTTGGCCATCTTAAAACTAAACCAATTGGAATTAAAATAGAACTTTGACATGAGCTGAATTCAGCCTCTCTACCATACAGTTTACACATGAAGGGTTGTTCCAGCTGTGAATTCAGTGCATGTGCCAATGCTTACAGAAAACCAATTCCTTAATATGTCTCCCATTCTGGACTTAAAGTTCTGATACTTAATGAACTTCATGCTTTTCAACTGAATTTTTTTTTCAAATAGAAGTTGCTGCCAACCTCAAATTTATAACTGAAAATAAGACTGTCAATCACTACAAACAACATTATCAAATTCTACCTTCTAGCATAGGAAGTGACTGAATATACTTGTTATTAATTGCAAGTATTAGAGCAAACCCCAAATGGAACACACTCAGTATCTCAAACAGTCCTTTCTAAACTGCTTTGCTGAACTGATGCCTACTGGGAAATATCAAACTCCATTTTATATCGCTGCCAAAAGCAAAAGTAATTTGTGCAATATTTGGAAGCCTTTCTGTTGTAAAATTAGGGAGTGTAAACAACTGCAGAAAAAAGCTCTTTTACAGGTCTCCCAAGTTCTGTTATGGTTTCCTGTCTTTCCGAATCACAAAGAACTGTGACATTCTTTTTACTTGTGATCACAACACGAGCATAATTTTACAAATCTTATCAAATATCTACCTGCACAAAAAGCATAGAATTAATTTTCAGAAGTAGGCTAAATGTAACAACTAACTAATATGCCACATTTTCCAGCTCATGAATATGTAAATTTACCTCGTTAATTAAGTTTTAATCACAAGCCCTTAGTGCAAAGAACAGTAAAAAAATTTAATTTTATAGCTATAAAGCTCAAAGCTACAGCTCAGCAATCATTCTAAATACAGCTACAATAGGAAATTCAATTCTTGATTGTGTCAAAAAGAAAAACTAAAGTCTTGTTTTGGTTAACCCGTCAGCTACAAACTAACAGCAGCATTTCTGACAGTGATGGAAGCTATGCAAGTAAAATTAGACAATGCTTAAAGCATATCAGTGATGGAAGAATCCCTCCTCCCCACAGCTATCAGCCCTAACTTAAGTGCATGCTGACTAATTCTCAACTCTACTTGAAGTCACGACATGTAAATTCCTAAAACAGTGTTGGTGAGTGCAGAGACTACCTTTATACACAGATTACTTCTATACTAACACTCAGAAGTGTGCTTTTATATCATATCACCCAAAGGAGTCATTATTGATACTTAAATTTAACTCTTCCATACTACATGATTAAAACCTTTGAATTTCAGCACTCTACTTCAATGCACTTTTGATAAAAAACAGGTAGATAAAAAGATGACATATACAGATTATGCACCTAAAGTTTCCAAAATAAGTTTGTTTACCTTTTAGAAGAGCTACTTTAGCAATAGGTTCATTTAGATCTTGGTCATCCATTTGAGCATCTAAAAAAAACAAAACAAACAACAAACCCCAACCTTTCAGAGAGCAGGCAGACTGCAGACAGGTTTCATTCTCAACATGGAGAGAAGCTTTTATGTTCTTCTCAGTTTACAAGAGTTAATTATGAAGCTGCAGAATAGACAATACTGCTTTAAGCCTGTATCTGACTCTGCATAATACACCTCACTCTTGTAAGAAGATACTCATGATTAATTAAGTGATTTAATTCAAACTAATTATATGTTACAGAAACCTCAGTTAAACTCTCACCTGTAGTGTCGTCGCTGCTTTTTTCCTTGCTTGGGCTGAGAGTGTCCGACAAATCGTTGGATTCTTTGACTCGTGCTTGATTCTCTGCAAGAGACAAGGAAAAGCAACTACAGTCAGTAAATGCTTTGTTCATAATTTCTCCTGTACACCCAAGTACAGCTAAAGGTCAACAGAAAACGACCCAGTTCAAGAAACAGTTAAAAACCTGGTGGTAGCTAATTTCTTTGCAAGTCTGAGCTAAAATGGATTCCACATCCCTGGATCATTAATCCACCCTCGCCTCTAATAGGGGATGCAACTGCCTCGTGCACAGCTTGAACGTGGGTTAACGCTGTGTTCCTGCCAGCTGGAACTGTGCAAAAGCTGATTCAACCAGAGAACAAATAAGAGAAGGAAACTAAAACAATGCAGATACTGTAGCAAGTCAGAAAGAAAGTGCTGTTAAGAATAAAACTGTGCTTCAGTATTTAGGACAAATAAAATAATAGCAACAAGTCTTGTACATACTGTACTGTTAAAAAGAACTGTGGCGTGAACCATTAAAGAACCACAGAGATATAAAATAATACAGGAATTTCTAGAAAGAATTTTCAGTTCAAACTGTATTAAGAGAAAGCAATGTATGTCCTTTCCACTAAAAAAATACCTTCATGAAGTATCTGCTCACACATAATTCACCACATTATTACATGCAACTTAGTGAAGCCACAGTTATTTTTGGGTTTGTTTGCTGTTCCTTATTTTACTTTCCCAGTTCTAGGTTTTCAAGGAGACATTTTCAAAAGATGAGGGGACTTAATCATACCAGTGCATCCTTTTCCCACACAGAACCATCCCTGACTCAAAATTTTTCTTAAATGACAATTCTGGTTCAGTTCTGATGGGTCCATTAAAGAATGACACACCATCTCTGGTGTGGGCTAACCCAGAAGGTCTCTCAGTGAGGAACCAACATGCAGGTGAGGTTACACATAATGAAATCTTTCTAGGCTGACTGTTCAGAGCCTTGGTTTGACAGCATTGCCCCCCACTTGTAGATTAGAAGAAGTTTCCTCTGAGTCTCAAGTTCCAGGCAGAGATACATATTAAAAGAGGTCAGTGCAACATTCCCAGTACACAGACTTTACTTCCATTCATACATGCAGAAAAGCATGGTGAACACAAATAATTTCATCACATTTAGATAATGTACATGCAACAAAGAAGTACCAGGACACAGGAAGAAAGAAGGACATCAAGAAATAAATCAAGTGTGTTATACCAACAGAGTTAGTATATGAAAATAAATAAAAAACAAAGGAGACATGAGAAAGTTTTTTCAAATAACAAGAGAACAGAACTAAATTCCCCTCAAATGAAAGAAGTTAAGTTGAAACTGAAGACAACCAATGCACCTACATGGGAAAATCAGCAAGATGACAAAACACAGATAGGTTAACAGGAAAAAAAAAGTTTTCTTCATCTAACATGAAAAATTCTCTATCTCTGTGTGCCAGAATAACATCCCCTTGTACACGAAACAGAAGGCAGCAAGTACAAACAAAGCAGCTGATGAAGAGCCAGACTCTTCTCATGTTAATGCAAACAAAATAACTGGAAAGGAGGAAGGGGAAAACACCTGTACAGTTAAAGCACATTAGGGGTTCAGACCTGGCAGCTATTCCAAACAACTCCCATGACTTCAACAGCCTTCAGAGTTCATAATGATTGGAGTAGTTAAAAATTTGTTGTTTTAGCAAATAACCACCCCCAAATATAAAAGGATACTTCCCTATTTTTAGGAATAAGGTTTTTAACTAATACCTAAAGATGCTACAAATCAAGCATTTTACATGTATCACACAGAACCAAGCTCACAGCATTGTCACTAATAATTACTAAATAATTACTAAAAGTAATACACCCTTTTTAAAATATTAAGCAAAGGATAACCTAAAAGCCTCACCCATGTCAGTCATATGAGCGGTCGATCCAGAAGCACTAAGCTGAACAAGATCTGTATCCAACTAACTTTACCATATCTGGGCATCCATGGAAACACAGCTTTCCTGCTCTGTGCGAAATGGGAGGAACTATGCGAGCTCCAACCACGGAATTAATGCTCTCCCCCCCCCTCCCCCTCATAACTCCCTCCCACCCACCCTCGGGTACACCGGCTTCTGCCTCCCTCCCGCCCTCCTCCCTCTGGAACAAGGCACAAAAGATCAGGCACCAGAGGAAAGATGCATCTACATGTGAAACAGCAGTAGTCAAAAAGAGAAATGATTTAGAAACCTCCTTCCTATTCTGGAACCAGAGTCATAAGCACAAAACACCTTCCTGTACTATGTTACTTCACAGCAGTTGTTCCTATTTCCCATAATAAAACTGAGCTGAATAAATATAGCAAAAGTGATGAAGTATATTAAAATGTGTTGACATCATACTTACTTGATGAGTTAGAATATATTACCCACTAAAAATAGCTCCCAGCTTTGCAATAAGTGGCATGCAAGTGTTACATTACAGTTATTGTATGCATTCTTTGCCAAATATGGCACCCTTTCTATAGCTTGCTCACATACAGAAAGAAGTTAAAGGTGCAATTCCATGCACTAAAGGAAGATAAGAAATTAAAATGTCTCTAGAATACTGGAACTTCTAACATGCTCACACTTATTCAACAAAACAATGCTTTGCAGAAGGACAGAGGGTAAAGAAATGAGTTAGTATGTCTAGACACCAATAAAATGCTACAAAAGAGGAGCCAGCCTACAAGTCCAAACAATCTCATGTTATTGGACACATGGGAAATATTGACCTCCACACTTTGTAGCATTCCTGACTGGCAGTGCAAGATCAGGATGACTGTTCCTTGACAAGATAAGTCTTTTCTAATTAGCTCCTTTAATTTAACTTGCTTTATACATTAAAGAAGAGAGTTAGAGATGCACAGATATGTTTTACTTGGAAAAGGCACATTTAGGAGGTTAATGCTTATTTTACAGTTATGAGGGTCTAAGTTAGAAAATAGTCAAATTAAAATACAATTTTATTTAAAACTTAAAATGAGACCAAACATTATTTCTATTTAGCCCTGTAACAAAACCAAGATCCTGTTTGAAATTTATGTAAACATTAAAGCTTGAATTCAATTTACAAAGATTATTGTATTTTAATTTTTTTAAAAATGCATATTAAGGTCAGAACTCAGTCAATACTGAGATCAGCATTTCATGCACTCAATCTTCCAAAATCGTTTCCATTAAATCTTTTTACTCTGCAATAGTATTTGGAGCAGAGTTCAGCAAAGAATTTACCTCCCTTTTATTGAATTTCTTCTCAAATGTGTATTTAATCAAAACTCAAACTGCTAGCTTAACACAGAACATGCACTGAGTGACATAAAAAGCATGCTTCAAAAACAGTGAAACAATCCAGAAGTCTAACCTTTCAAAAGCTTTGTTTCTTCCACTTTGGTTAGATGTCCTTCATCTATGATCTTGTCTGCCAAACAAAATAAGTGTTACTTTCCAAGCTCAAATTTAACAAGCTTTTCCCTGTACACATCTACGTAGAGCACATTCCATGACCAAATTAAAAGCTGATAATATTACTTCCTACTCAGGCTTGAACAAAAACTTGATTCTGGCACAGAATAACGGAACAGAGCACACAAGCCTACCGGAACTTTGTGATACAGTGCATAATTACTTCTCCTTATTAACTTACATAATCCCTCAGTTCACTAATGAGAATTGAGGAAAATTAATTTTATGTACTTTTTAAATACCTAAACCAAAAGTAATAAAATATGAATACGTTTCTCAGGTTCTAGTTATCAAAAAAAGAATTCTAAGAGCTGGTTCCCTGAAATAGGTGTCCACCCAACACAGCAGAAATCTAGAAATACAGCACAGTAAAACAGCAATAGAGAAGGCCCCCCCCGTTCACATCACAACTGCTTTAACACTGCCTGTGAAAGGTACACAGAAACAGCCTTTCCTAGATTAAATCTTTCAAGAGAGCTGCATAAACTTTCAAAAACTAGGAATGCATCACATTCAAGTTCACAAAAATTGAGTTTTTATATAAAGTCTACTTTTGGAAACCCTATTTGTGTATGTCAGGTGCACAAAAACCTAAAAAGTTCAATTTGAGATTATATTGCTAACTTCATCCTAACTCCAGCTAGGACATGAAGGCAAACAGGAGGACCAAGGGAAGAACAGGTTTGAATTAATCAAAGACACTAAAAGAACTATTGTATCATTACTTAATTTCTTTTTTCAGATGAGATTTCATTATTGCAAATTACTTAAGAAGCAACTAGAAACGCCAACATACAAAATTATCGAGGGTCACATCTTGCAGATCACATTCTCAATTTCTATGCAGTAGATCTTTCTATTTAGATCCTGTTGAAAGCTGTTAACACCCCCTGAGACATCAGGCTTGAAGCTGCTTCTGTCTTCCCTCTGTGCTTTCCCTGCCAGATCCCTGATGACCAGGCAGGGAACTGAGTTTGCTGCTTACTCCATGTGCTGTTAACAGGTAACTGAGACATGGAGAAGACTGGATGAACAGCACATATAGGAGAGTTCAGATTTCAGGAAGCTGGATGACAGTAAATCCTTTTCCAAATTTTAATTTAAAAAAAAATAAACAAAATAGTGAGCTTTAGTCAGCATCTCCAGCTTCAAGCAGCTCTGAAGATTAGCCTGTCCCTGTACTCCTCTGATGGCATGCTGCTGTAACCATGACAATCCAAGGACAGATGCAGGACAGGATTTGTGAGGAGGCACTTTTTTCAACCCTAGATAGTAGACAAGCTTTCAGACAAAAAAAAAAACAAACAACCCTGAGATTTGAAGAAGGGTTTGCATGGCCAAATGATTGCCCTGTCCTCTTTCCTCCCCCACTGCCACGTAAACCAATCTAAAAGAGATGTTCCCTCCAACTACTTTTATCCACAAATATTGTCCGGCATTCCTGTAACATTTTACTAATACTGCATCAGAAATACACTGAACAGCACACTGGATTTTTAGAATTGGCTTCAGGTCTCAAGCAACTGTAGGTGATAACTCATCATCCAAGTTCAGGACAGCCTCAAGTTCCTCAGAGCTGGAGAGAATGACTGTCCCCAGACCGAGGAAGGAACCGTGGAGGGAATCAAGTTACTGCAGCCACAAGTCAGGAGTTTGAGTGACATCAGGAGCCCTCTTCCATTTCAAAATAAAATAAATCTAATCAAAAGTCTTCATATATGATTAGTCAGGTACTCATCTGAGGCTGAAAGTGTGGTGGAGAGGAAGGCAGCAAGAAAACAGCCGGGAATTCTGCCTATAGATCTGAAGAAAACAGCTGAATGCAAAATCCAAGTAGTGATCAACTGCTTGATCTGAAGGAGTAACATCTCATCTATGCTAGACTGCCAGCTTAAAATAGGCTTCTATAATCAGTTTACAGAGCAAAACTTAGCTTTATGAAGTGATGGATCTTGTAGTTCTCTGAATACGGTAACTGCTAAATCCAGAATAGTTACAGCACAAAACAACAAAACTAATCTTCTCGAGGCAAATGTTTTCCAAACTGGAACTTTTGCAGCAGCTCTTTACACTCAGTTCCCATGGCTAAAAGAAACTCTCTCTATTTTTTTTTCATTTCCACCATGGCTGTTTTCTAGTGTCCATTATAGATTTCACCATTTGTACACACGGTTTCTCCTTGACACTATTTCTTCAGCCAAGACCTTCAGCAGCAGCACCAGAGTCCCTTGCCCAGCATGCCCAGCACAGCCAGTACTTTTCACTTGGGGACTGACATCTCTCCTAACTTACAGAACGCTGTGTTTAAAGAATGTTACCATTAGGGTATTTTGAAGCCAACAAAAAATAGTTTATTTCAGTGTGCTGGCATGTATTTACATAATACACAGAAAATTAGATGCTGGTATCACTGAACTACACAGAATCTTATTTTCCACTCTGCTACCATGCCAGTCACTAAAAACGGCAGAAGCCAGACAACAATCAGAAAGTAAAAGATACAGACATGTCTTCTTTAAAACATCTCTTTCAAATCTCTGCATCTTTTCACATTGCTATTTCAGAAAACTTCACAAATGTGATTTATTTTTAAATGTTTTCCCTGAATCAAGACATGCAGTTTTGGCTATCAAAATATAAATTTGGGTGAGGATCCTATCTTTAATTTCTGGCCCAAAAGAATTTTATCTGTCATGCTATCCAGTTACTACTTAACAAAGTCACAGAAAGTAGCAGAGAGATATATATAATAAATAAATGCTTTTACTGAAACAATCTGCTGCGAAATTAAGCTTTCAGTTCATCTTTCATATTCCTTTTTGCTGATGAATGCAGTTCATAGGCAGCTTCCCTTTAGGTTTTTAGTCATTTCCTATCTTTTCAAATTAAGAACTCCCTTTTAGATTTGGGTTGCCTATCACTGTGTGCAATATAATAGCTAAGATCTGTTAACATTAAAATTACCACTTAAGTAACATGTTCCCAATACATTTAATGGTTTTGTACCAAAATAGTCTTCGAAGGAGGCCAGTTTTGAAAATCAAAATAAAAGCAAACTTGACCCTCAACACACAAATTTCCAATCATCTGAAAAAAGTGATACTAAAGAGTTTTAACTTTACTTGCCACATGCAGGTCAAATGGAAAAGTTAAAAATAACCATTCAATCCATCCAAAAACTACTAATAACAGCTTCTTAAACATCAGTTTGGTAAAAAGTAAAAACATTGACTTGCATTTCAAATCATAAACGCAAAAATCACAAAATAAGGGGAAAAAATAAGGACACAAGGAAGGGTTAGACTGGAGCAAAAGACAGGAAGCTAGCAGGGCAAATCTCACTTTTGTCTATACATCATCACCATTTTTGGTAATAATTCATATTATGAACTAATCAAAAAGAAGCACCATGACTTTTGCTGTCAGTATCACTGATTTTCACCAGTGGTTATTGAAACAAGAAAAGCTATGGAATGAGCAACAAGTGAACTGGATGTAATGATCAGAAAGTAACAGACTTCCCAGATCATTCAGAGCCAGATCTCATAATACTGTGCAGATGTTGCAAATCAGGACACGTTACTGAATGAAATTGTGAGTGTACTGCGCTTAAAAAAAAATCAAAATAATTTAAAAATACCTTTAAAAACCTACAAAGCTGGATTTCACAAACAATACTACCAAAATCAAGCATTCAAGCTGCACTGCAACTAAGACTTCAGTGCCCTGTTATTTCTGCCCCATCAAAAATATTCCAGCTTTAGTACTTCAAGAGGTTTCAATTGCTCTGAACTGATGAGCACTTTCAACTGCCTTATACCTCCACAGCCACTGTTGGTATAGAATACCAGACTGCTTAAACAGCTCAGTTTTCTTCTTGTGCTATCCTCCATACTCCAATTCCTTTACTCAAGCGGGTTTTCCTCATTTCTCTGCTTGTGCTTTCCCCATTTAAGTGCTTTCCCCCCAGAGCTATGGAGATTCACACTTTCCACGCAGTACAAGCACATCAACTCAGAACCTTCCCTTCTTGACCAACTGGATGGTTGTCTCAATTCTCCTTTTGTTTTTAGATTTCTCTTATGGTTTGCAGATCCTATAGTTTCAGTTCCTCTGCTTCTATTACAAAACAGTAAGTCCTATATAACACAGCTTCAATGAGGGACTCCTGTTTCTGGGATTTTTATTGTACTATTGTGTTTTAAGTAATAAACCTGCTCCTCTCTCTATACTTAATCCTTGGGGCAAAACTCCTACATAGTACCACATGATGAACTATATATTCTTTCTTTATATTGCCAATTCTACACTTCAGTATTTGCTGCATACCTTAAAATTCAAGTTCCTGAAGATCTCTGGAACTATAAATTTTCTCGCCAGAAGTTCCTAACCCTCTATGCTACACAGAGCAAAGAATAGGAGTAAGACTGAAAGGTAGCATTTACATACAAAAGGAAAACAACAGATCCTGCAGTTTGCAGTTTTTAACCTCATGATATTGTGAGGTCTGATTAAACATATTTGAATTTGGAAAAGGCAAACTTTCAACCCAAGTATGAATTGCTGACTTGGAATCTTTTTTTTGCTCTCAATGGGAAATTAAAAGCTTACACTGTTGTAAAAAATGCAAAATCCTGAACCCTTTGAACTCATACTCATTCTTTTCCAAGTGAGGCAATGGAGGCCCTAAAGTGTCTTCACCCTGTAGCTTTCCATCTCTCAAGAACAGGTAGGGGATAAACACATGGAACTTTATTTTACTCTTATTACTGATTCAATCACATCCTAGAAGCTTTTGATACTGAGAATTACTTTTCCTTCTCAACAGTTACAAAATTGGTCATATTTATTTTGCAGAAGTGATACTAATCCAAGTTCTGCTAAAATAGGTTAAGCTAACATCCAAACAATGAAAACAGGCAACCAATCTGTATTTGAACATCATTCAGTGTGCTCTTCATGTTCAGTCTAGACAAAAATAAAGATTACTCAAACATTTAACTTCATTTTTATGTACTGAATAAAGATGATTCATGTGTGATCTTTGCAGAATTTAGAATTATTTTAAACAGCAGCCTGACATAAGATAGCTACCAGCCGTTTTTAAAAATAAACAGTTTTCAAATAAAGTTTTAATTTTCTTAGATAAACACTGGCAGTATCACATCATTCAGTTTTTAGCACTGCAACCCTTATCACCAGCAGTAAAGTCACACAAGTCTGCTTCACTTCCTCATCGAAATTTAAAAGGGAAGAGTCCCACAGACATAATGTCAGAAAAAAAGATACTCTCTTGTTTCGGCTTCTAAATGCTTCTCTGTGCTCAACTTTAGGTACATGATTTCTACAAACTCTTAAATAAAAAATTAATTCTTTATGCTACAAACCAGTTTTATTTGAAGTGTAACAGTACTCTTCTCTCTTTTTATTGATATGTGAAAAGGCGTCATTGCCTTATCTCTGTCCTACAAGCTTGTGATGTATGTTTAATCTGACAGAGTCAGGCTTTCAACTTAACTTGTACCAGGTGAAAAATTACACTCAGTTTTAAACACTGTGTTGCAACATCACCACCCTTTTGTTGGTCAGGGCACAATAATGGATTAACTGCTACAAAGAGATGATGTGACCATTGCTTTGCAAGAGCAAAGATACCCTCACTGCTCCTACAGACCCTGCTTGATATCACAATGCCACAATTCTACAGAAAAATTAAATAGCAGTGACAGTTCTGGTTTTCATCCACCTTTTCTGGGTTTTCTGTTGTTTTTAAAGCAAATGTGAACACTCTTGTACTCACTCTGACATTCTATGAACTGATGAATAAAAGTGCAGTCCCCTCCACTCTTTGAAAGAAAGTGCTCTAGTAGAGAAAGAAACACTTAAGTTTACACCTTCTTATCATTTTCAAATTGATGCAACAAAAAATTTGAAAGGCATATTAACAATATTTGTAATTGTGTATTCACAGTGAACTTTTGAAATCTGAGTTAATATGCAAGCAGACAAGACATGAAATTGAAATGGTGTCTGAGTGATACTAGGAAATAAGATTACTCTGTTGAACTGATCAGAAGGAAGTACTTCAATTGCCTTTTCAAAAGAAATGTGTATTTAACCTATATTCTTCAGCATTTTTATTAGCTTTAAAAGGGTATTTAAGTTTTTCATTAGTCTTCATGTTGATTCTTCATCTCTAATACCCACTTGAAATAAAAAACATTTATTTTAAAAGTGTTGTTGAATATCTTCCTTTACTTTTTAAACGGTTTCACTGCACAGAAACAATTTTTTAAAGGACTGTTCTACAGTAGAGATCCTAAAACTGGGCTCAATTTCCAGTTTACTCAAGTTGCTCCATGTGATTTTGTTCAGCTCCCAGCTCCATCATGTTCCTGCATCTCTTCAAGTGAAAAGTTGCCAACACTTCCTTCCTGGAGGATCTCAAAAACCATTTGACCAAGAGTCCAGCAGTCTGAAAACACTGCTTTTAGTATAAACCTGCAGAATGTGGGACATTCTAACCAAACTGTTCAATCACTAGCTCTGACACCAGCAGCTCAGCTGCAATACTGAGCTCTACTATACTTCAAAGTTATTCTAAAAAGTATTTCTTTTCCATATTCAAACTTTTTTTCCCTTTATACACAATCCTCTAAGTGACTGTATAAAATTTCTCATACCTTTCTTATGTAATACATGGCTCACAAAATTTAAAGATGAAAGCCAGGTGTGGTGCAACTCACTGAGAAAAATACAACTCAGTTCTACACAACTGTTTTGAAACAACTCAGTTCTGCACAACTGTTATCAGGGGCTTGATGTATAAGCAAGTTCCTCTCTTCTGCACCAGCTTTTCCATATGTGCAGTGAGAGAAAAGGAACGCCCAACCACCATCATCTGAATACAGTTGGTTATAAAAAGTCTCTGCAAAGGCTATAACATAAGCTTCTAGTTCCTCTAGTCTGAACAGAGCTCTTGAATGCTGCTACAAAAAAAGCAGTGCAAACCCCTTGTTCTTGCCATGGCCAGGGAGTGTGTCTGTACACACACTCTGAGGTCTTGATCTGAAGTTTTGAGGGAGACAAAAGGAATCTTAAATAAAACATACTGATTTTACACGGTTCTACAATTTTTCCCTTTTGTTGTCAAAGTTGCTCAATCTGCATTATAATTTCAAAATTCTTAGCTCTTCTAAAATAATGCAAGACAACTCAGCAAAAAAAAAACAAACAAAAAAAACAAAACCAAAAAACCCCAACCAACAGTAACTGTCTCCTGCTGCTTTTTAGAGAACAAAATCCAAAATCTGGCAGAGCAAATGACTGCCCATCTGTCATACAAGGGGGACGGGACCGGAAGATCCAGAAAGGCACAGACTGTCATGAAGAGAACACAGGGCAGAAAGCTGTAAAATGCCAGAGAAATGTGGAAGGACCAAGTATGGCAGAGATGCAGAAGAATGTGGCACTGCAGAATGATGGAAGACTATGCTAAAATACAGAATAATAAAATAGCATGGTATGTGCAGGACAAAAAAGGTGATAGACTGTATAAACACAGAAAGACAACTTGAATGAGCAGTTACATGTTGTCTGTATTAATAAAGACAAATAAATTGGCAAACAGCTTCCTAAAACTTCCAGGTTTAAGCACAAGTTCCACTGTTACTCATAGGACAGAGGAATCCATTTTGTCATCCATCCATGACACTGATTCTTATGCAATCCAATGTAAGTCAAAAAGGGATTGCTTCTTCAACTTTGACAAAAAAGTATCAGTAATACAAAAGATACTTGTTATAATCACATCATGATTTTTAAATGAGCAATTTTTAAATCTGAACTGGTAAGAAGTATCAGTATTAAAGAAACTAAGAGGACATTCCTACAAACTATTTTAAACCAAACACAAAGTGTTTCTTTAAAAAAATTATATCTAATATGATGTAATAAATTATTTCTCTATAAAATAATCTGTATTTGAGCTCAACAGTTTTTACTAAATGTTTCAAATTAGTTCTAGGCTACTGTTTTTCACAGTATTGCCTGTTTTGCTAACAACCTCCAACAACCTCACTTTCAACATCTTTTTTTAGAATGAAGAATCCCAATCTTTATATTCCTCAGTTTTGCTTTGTAAAGATGTTAACTTTTGTGGGGTGGAAAGTTTGAAAAAAAAAAATGAAAAAACAAAGGTAGATTTATTTCTTAACTAGTCTCACAACCATTAGAAGTATTAGCAACCTAAAATTATGCATCAGCAAGATAGATCAATCCATATAAAAATCAAATCTCATGGCAGTCCAGAGAACTGGGAACAGATGTTAACTGCTTGCACTGTGTGCACCACAGCTAAGTGATCAAAATCCTGAGGCACTCAGGGATAACCAGTACTCTTACATTAAGAGGAGGTTTAGGTACAGCTCCTGTGGGTGTTTAACAGACCTTTCCTCCTGCTCCAAATAACAACCATACCGTTATGTCATGATTAAACTTTTTATTTTGCTATTGGTCTCCCTAGTTAAAAACCTCTTAGTTTACAAATATGCATAGAGAGCTTTAAAACTGTGTTTCAAAAATACACACAGTAATCCTTCAACACTGTGAATATTAGTTAAAACTATGAGCTCTCTATATAGGTGCCTCAGCCTTTCAACTAACACTACCACCATTCCTCAGACTGTAAAACAAAGTTACGTCAAGGAAAAAATAAAAATTGACACAGGAGGACAGATATATATCAGCCAATCAAACAATTTAGTGAATTTGGAATCAAACTGGAATACTCTTTATATGTTATAGGCCATATTCTTACTGGATAACTTCATTCAAGAAAAGTTCAAATGTACGTTAAGACACATGAGCTAAAATACTTGGCTCTAACTAATTGGTCTTTAAGAAACCCTGTCATTTAGTTCAATCTGTATTAATTCCTTTAATTAATTCCTAATTAATTAAAGACAATTCCAAGCATTAAAAAATTAGTTTCTACTATTTATGTATTTTATAAACTCACATTTTTCAAGTCAGTTATAAAAAAATAGGTTTTGCTGACTTTACTTACCATACCAAATTTACTAGAAAAATGGTGTATTGTCTGTGTGTTGCAAGAGAAAATAAATTCATGAGGAAAAGCAGTCAGTGAGTTTCCCACTTTCTTGTGTCACAAGCCTGATATGACTCAGTAAACTCCTACTGATTCCAGTGACAGCCCATCAAAAAAAAAAAAAGAAAAAGAAAAAGACGACTTCCAAGTTGTTTTGTTACATTTTACAGAACCTTCTAAAAACACCCAGATTGAAAGTCTAAGCAAAAAAATGCTGGTCAGTGGAGTGGACAAATTCAATTTAAGTTTTAAAGAGAATATTATTCAAAGCAAAACTTTCAAGAACATTTTGAATTTGTTCAACTTCAAACATCAACCATAAGACAAAAGGTAGCCTTAAGATACACTACCTTTCTCTGTGCTCCCATTAATTTTAGGTATGAAGTCGTCAACTTGTATGCCTAGGATCAAGAAAGGGTATTATTTTTGGAACCAAGCAAGATTTTGTTTTGGGTTTTGTTTCTTTATAAATACAGCATTGTGAAATGTATCTGGCTTTTCATGCTACCTCCTCCTTCTAAGTACCTAATCAAACAAAGCAGGCAAAGTGCGATGGCTTTTTCTGCACTACAGACCACATTCCTGACTGTTCAAACATATGAAAGGTTACTAACATCCAAAGAATGACTGCTTATTACATATATACATATATATATCCTTTTATATATATATATAAAAAAGGATTTTAAAATGTATAAGGATGTAAAACCCCTCCAAGTCCGATCTCGGCATCGGGCCCTGGGCAGTCATTGAACACCCGCAGCACCAGCGCCCTCTGCCGACCCCGGTCCCCTCTCCATGCCCGGGAGAACTCCCTGCTGGGATAACGGGGAAACAGAACTCCTCTGCCAGACACCGGGAACACGAGACTGTCATAGCAAAAGTTAAGGAACAGAAAATCCGGAAACCAGCTTGAAACAAGAAACTTGATCACACCTACCTAAGCTGTTGTGTTCTTTAAGAGTTTTCTCCTGAAGGTGTTCTAACCGTACTGTAAACAGAAGTCCAAGAGAAAGATATTTCACAGATTAAAAGAAAAACAAATAACCAAAGTTTCTCCCCCGCTAGTGACTAACCTTGCAAAGCTGTCAGGCGCTCGTTGGTGAAGTCATTGTCGGCCTGCAAAGCTTCTATTTTTGCTTGAAGCTCTTGCTCCCTTTCTTCCATTTCATCTATTTTAAGCTGCAATTCCTTTTTCTCAGCCAGTCCTTTCTGCTGGATTTCTTCTTGTCTTCCTTCTGCTGCCTGCTCAAAAAAGGTGAAAAAAATCCCCAAACAAATCAAACTTAAGACGTGAAAGAATATGTCTCCTTGATTTTTGTATAGCTAAATGGATCTAAGTAACTGTCTTTGCTAGTCAGATAAAGAAAGCAGAAAAAACGCAAAATCTATTGTTTTTCTATAAATTTCTCTGCAAGTATAGTAAGACAGAAAGAATCTCAAAATACCTTAACTAACTTTTTGTCCAAGGAACATAAATTTTACAGTAGCAGGGTCCAAGAACTAAGAAACACCTGAAGTCTCCCAGCATCTCAAATCAATCACAACTCAAGAGCCCTTTTGAACTGAATGCACACTGACTGCACAGACCAGCTTGTTTGAAGCCACATCTTTTTCCTTGCTGGATCTCACGGTAAGTTTCAAAGACTCTTCTCCCTCAAAGCTAAGCAATAAGTTCGGGTTTTGACCCTTCTGTGTATACTCAGCATCATCTTTAACTCATAACTGCTCTAAGACCAGCAACTGAACCTTTTAATTTGGAAAGAAAAATCTTCTGTCTGAGATGCTGAATTAGGACTCCAAGAACCCAAGAGTATTTATCCAAGACAAATGCAACAAGTATCTCATCTCTCCACAGACAGCACCACTACCTTCCTCCTCCACAGCTTCTACTTATCTAGATTGGAAACTCTTGAGGAACAGGATTTATCATGAAGTGTTTATTCTGTTCTCCAGCATAAAGGACCTTTAATTATATACTTAGACATGCAGTTTAATTACAAACCTAACAGCATGTTCCCACCCCCTGGCAGTTGAGCCATATTATTACTACGTGGTGGGCTAGTTATGTTTGGAACTGCACAAAGAGGCAACACAAATTGCAAATTTATTTCTAATTCTAGTTTCCAATTCCATTACCCGTAAGATGTTTAAGTTGAAAGTTATTTGCCTATACAAAAGCAGCTGAATGTGAAGTTTTACACCTTACATAATTTTATCTTAAAATATATTTTGGCTTCAAAAATTTGGAAACTTTCAAAATGAACAGAAAAGAAACCTTTTTAGCAAGTGACTTAACTTATGACAGCTTCAAGTACATTAAAATCAAACCAAAAGAATATGTAAAAGATGATATGCATCTTTCTATCATTAACCTGTTGTTTAAAAAGCTTCTTAACCTTTTCTGATTACTACATTAGAAATGAAATTGTATTTATTTGTTGCATTCATCACAGTTTCATCATATATCAGATTAAGTTCTGTCGTTACCTTTAGCTTGTCAGAAAGATCCTTAATTTCATTTACAGCTCCATTGTATTTATTAGCTAATTCCCTTAATTCTTCCTGAGTCCGCTCATTCATTTCTTTCAGGTGTGTACATTCATCTTCTGTATTACTTAAACTCCGCTGTAACACAGAATTATCGTGCAATAAATAATAAAAAAGACACAATAAACTACCAAACACTAAAATTATCTACTTTTTCCAAACGGTATATGTAACTAATCATGTTTAGCTGCTTTGTTCCTAGTCATTAAGGCTAAACAAACAGATCAGGTCTTGGCAAAAACATGATCTACACAAACCTCTAATGCTCTACTTAAAGAACAGAGATTATGCGAAAAACAAATTGGTTTATGTATGTGGGAAAAAAAACCCCAAACCAAATACCCCATAGTGGGCTATATAATTGTGAATAAAGAACTGAAAAGTGTGGTCCCTCTCCACCATTCTCTTCCCTTGTACGATAAACTGTGAAAGTTCTATAATATTTTTTAATTCAACGTAATCAAGAGATTTCATCATACCTTTCACCCAGCAAAAGATGATTTAAGACATTATAACAGCCAAATGGCTCCAAGGAAGCATTCTAAATCTTTTTTTGTACTTCATAATGTGGAAAAGCATCTAAACTAAGGTCCCCTTGCTCAAGAGGCAGCTGGCTCTCCAGGAGGCAAGGAATGCTCCTGAAGTTCGGTGACAGCAGCACAACTAAACGGTGCAGAGAGTTGCCTCCTCACAGCTCAAGGTTTGTTTCTTTGATCATCAACTCATTTTTGGTCTTTGCTGGGGGGGATTCATTTTGGGTTTAGGGTTTTTTGGGGAGTTAACAAGCTCTGACCTAGTTCTCCTTCACAACCAAAAGACCTTTAAACAAAAGTGCATTAAAAACTACATTATATAATAATCATTAAAGAAAAACTCTCAACCAGGAGCCAATGACTTTTCTGTGTGGAGAGATAAGTATGTGGCACTTGTTTGCACTCAAGCAAACCTCTTACTCAAGTTAAATTATTATTTCTCCATCATAAGTCAAAGTAAAGAGGAACAAGTAGAATAAATGTCAGCACATTCTTCTCTTAGGATAGGATAGAGAGGAGAAGAAAGCTAAAAGTAAACATAAACTCCAGTCATTAACAAACCTGCCAAGAACTATTACAACATAAGAAGGTGTATTTAAGTAAAATCTCCTAAGGTTATTTATTACAGCATTGCATTCTCTAAAAACCATGAAGAGAATAGACTTTGTGCACTTAAGTCCTATGAGACTTCTTGATCTAAGGGAACATAGCAAATAATGATAAAGGAAAAAGAAAATAAAGAAAAAGATAGTGATGAAAGATATTACAGGGGCAGAAATCTTATTTGAAGAAAGTGTCCATCACTTTGAATCATAAAAGCTCATTCTTAAGTGTACTTTGTACAAGTAGTTAAGTGTACGTTTCCATAAATTTTACAGTTTAAACAAGGTCTTACAGCATTTTTTTAAAGCATGTATGTTGTTTTCCCCTCACTTGTCTCCCACACATACTAACTTCTGTAAGACAGCTTCACGAATTTTGAAACCTGGCAGAAAAGGGAGGAGCTGCAATAATGGCTTCTCTGACTGTTTTAACAATTTTAGTATTGTCCAACAGGAGAAATAAACAGTACTACTTAATACCCTGCAAGTGTCAGGGTACAACAGATTCTGGCATACCACACATTAGGTAACAGAACAGGGGTTTAAGTAGCAGCATTTCCAACTATTTAGAACTTCCAACTATTTAGAACTATTTAGCATTTCCAACAGTTAGAACAACTATTTCAGCATTTCCAAAAGACTGGAAATGAAACCTCCATACCTCCACTTCAGACAATTTTCTGACCACTTCGATTTTCTCCTGAAGGACCCGCCTCAGGGACTCTTTGGCTGTTGTCTCATAGTTGTGTTTGTCTTCCTGTAATGCTATAAGCTCTTTTCGTATACTGTCTTCTGTTTGATTCTGGAAATGTAAAACAATTCAAAGAGAGAATGTAAATTAGTATTTTGATGATTAAATATAATAGAGACCATGGTAAAGCCTGGTGTATTAAAAGTAGGTAGCAATTTCTGATAGATGGGAATATGCTGTCTACAAATCAGTGATCAAAGATGCTTGACATAACTGGGTGTAAACCACTTTTTTTTAAGGGTATGTATAGCAGCACACACTCAATGGTCAGATTTGATTACAGGAAAATGATGGGGCTTTTATTGGACACTGTTATGACAATGTCAAGTGTAGGAGGCCTACGAGGTCCCACACAAAATACCTCAAATGAGACCTGCAGAAAAATTTCTTATAACGTAGGTAGTTGAGAGGAAATAGAAACAAAATAAAAATTAAAATTCAAGGCAGGCATAAGTGGCTTAAACAACAATCAAGGCAGTGCATATTTGTTTCTCTGAATATCAGACAGTACATGGACAATGAAAACAATAGCCACTGATCCAGATTCCAAGAAATACAGAACAGAGCTACTCAGATTATCAAAACTGCACAGGTTCATTTTAGAAAGTTTATGTTCCAATTGCTTTCCTACAACCAACTAATTTCAAAAAACACTCCAAAAGAGGTATCTTTCAGAATTACTAACATTTAACTTTAGGTGAACTACTTACCTTTGAACAAGCCTGTAATTGATTTCCCATAACCTCTAGTCTTGATAGCAGCCTGTCTTCATCTATTAAAGCCTGGCAGAAAAGAAGCATCACCTTGGTATTAATATGTGCTTTATGTACTGCCAGTAGAGTTCTGCTTTAAAGACCTGAATTCTGTTGGAGTATTCACTACTAATAGTTATTTCAAACTGGCACATAATCACTAAATTTATTAAACATTATCTTTTCCACAGTTTTAGAGAACCACCATAAAGTTTTTATTATTTCTCCTGCTTTTGCCCCCCCATTGTTTGAAAATTGGTAGCTAAAAATTTATATGTCACTGCATAGTTCAGTCCATAAGGAAAAGGATGCCTGCAGATACCTGCCAACTAGTATCTGAAGCCTCTTGTGTGACAGCAAGTAATCGCTGAAGGGTTGCCAGCTTCTGTTCCAACATTTGTTCCCGATGTAAGGCTTCCTGTGAAGAGAGCAGGGCACCAGTCAGTTCAGCTAGAACAACTCAAAATCAGAAGCAACAGAAGAGATCACAAAATACAAGAAAAAAAAAAGGAAATGTGAGTGACAAGCACTGTCATATATTCAAAACCATAATAACCCCATTCCATTTTATCCATCCACACATTTATTTGGATAGTCTAATTAGAAAATTATATCCTGTAACCTCAGGTTCCTGAAAACCTTCATTTTTCATGCATCTGGTGCACATGCTGAGGACACATGGTTGTTCTTTCCAAGACTTGAAAACACTTTGTCTTTTGTCAATAATTTGAGTAACAAAACTGCAGACACCAAAAGGCAGCTTGGCAGCTCCCATGGAATGAGCTGCTCATCCTCAAATCAGGTCACAAAAGAAAAATGCCAAGCAAGAACTACTATTTCTGTTTGATTTTTGGTTTATGTCAGTGAGATAGAAGAGCATCTTCGTTAACAATTCCAGGATATGGAGAGTGAACAGATTGGGGAGTGAGTATGTATTTGGCTTCCCAAGAAAGAGCATCTGCCTGAGCTGCTTCCTGCTATGTCAGCAAATACATATAAAGACAGTATCTATCTCAAAAGCCTCAGCATTTATGTGAACAAATAAAAATTGCCATTATCTAACAAAAACAGGCAAAATAAATCAGTAGAACTACATATAAATTAAACCTAGACAGAATTTACCAGTAAAAATGGTTTCTTATCTTTTGCAGAAAGCTGATCTTGTGATCCTTTCTAAATTGTGTACTTATATCTGTTAGCACACCCTTTAATGTGTTGCCATTTTGCAGTCTAACCCTTTTGTGACATGACATCTTTTGGGGGAAAAAACACACCTACTAAAACTGACACAGAAGCAGGCACAGAAAGGCTGGTGATGCCAACGAGGAAGAAGAGCTGCCAGCACTGTTTCCAATGGACACGGGGTCAGAAATATTCACACTGAGTTTACATTCCCAGAAACAAACTAGTTCTTGACACATGAAATGACCTCTTGTGTTGCCTTTCTTGTGTTACTATGACTTTTCTACACATCCACAGCAATGGATGATAACAAAAATACCATGAGCAAAGGAAAATTGGGGACAGCAGGGTAGGAGAGAAGAAAGGCCAGGAAAAGCAAGTACACAGCATTCATGAAGTTTCTATATAGGAAACTTCCATGTTTCCTCTAAAAAAGACATAGTTTACACTGCTCATGCAAAACCCCAAACATTTACACAAAACTACACCATGTGCAATTACATTGTTTTACATTGTTTCACTACAGAAAAGGTTTATGGTGTTCTTGTTTACAAAACACAGGCCCAAAGATAAAGCATAAAGTTTGTCTTGAACAACAATTAAACGAAATGCCTTTAAAAGAAAACCTACTTGTAGATACTGTGAAAGCTGAAACAATTCCTGAGAATACATACTGGGAGTGTTAGCAGCAACCTGAAAAAGAAGGTAAGTAAGAATCAGAACGGGTTTGGATTTCTCATTAAAGTCAAATAATGCAAAATTCATTTAAATCTAGCCATGAAGGCAAACTTACAATTATCTAATAATAGCATTTTCATTCATTTATTGTTCCATTACTATTTATGCTTTGTTTTATCACAGAACTTCCCAACTCTGGACTGAGGCCCCACTGTGTTTATGTCTTCACAAGTTCTTGAATCACCAACACACCAGTGAGTTTAAGGCTATTGTTACAATTGAGATTTAACTGACAAAAAAACCCGAGGGGCACAAAGGTGAAGCCATTCAACCCAAGGACAAACACAAATTGTGGGCTTCCAATTCAATGTCATCACACACACATTACAATCACACATCTCCTGTTGAGCTACCCCTTTATCATCCCCCTTTATAAGTATCTATTTCAGATTTCAGGAATATCTGTACTATTTTTAATCATAACTGAAACTGTTTGGGTTGTTTTGCAGAGTTTTTTGACAGTGGAATATATTTATTTTCTAAATCTTGTAGGTTTTTAACTGTTTTCAGTTATACCTGAAGTCCCTCCTCAGAATTTCCACCCTTCCCCCTGGATTCAAGCCACATACACGGTTTTGAAACCAATTTAAGCACAGTCTTATTATAAACTCCTTGGGCTGCTGACTGCACAAGTAAGCTTCCACAGCTCCTTGACATTTTGTTCTTCAGGTATAGGTTCTCTGATTCAAATCTACTAAAGTTAATCTTTCTTTTTAGAAGCTTGAGAAATAATTCCTGATCACTTTTCTCAAGGATGTATCTATTAACAGCTTTTCTACAAATCCCCCACATTACCAAAACTGAGTTTAAGAATTACACTTGACAAAACTGATTCCAAGACTCTACAGTGAGCAATTCTGGCTACACAAGAGAAGCAGAGAGGTCTAGTCTCAATCTTCCTTCAGATCACGACAGACCACTTTGCAGACACTGCAGTGCAGCTTCTCCTCCATAAAAACATGATACAAAGACAGAGCTCATCTAAACACCAAATCATAAGCTGCTCTTGGGTCCCACAGAACAGATGAAACATTAAATTATGCAAACCTGTTGGTCTGTCAATCTGTACCTGGAAATTAATCATCTTAACTCAGTAGTTTTGTTCCAAAGACATGTTTCAGGTGCCATAATGTAAAAAGTCAAACTACCTTCAAATATACACTGTAATACTGCACTACTTTTCTACCTTAAGTGCCACTCAAAATATTAAATTAGGTAAAAGCAGACAGTAGAAAACATATCTAAATGTAACTGGACAGACTCCACCACTTCTTCATCTTTATAACAAGTCTGAAAACAGCATGTGGCTGAATAAGGCATAAACCAGTAAATTACTGAATTACCTTGTCAACAGGACTTGGTAATGGAGCATGGATAACACTAAAAAAAAAAATAAAGAAAGTGAACACAAAGTGCAGAATAGCAGTTCAAAAATCCAGGAGATCACTAGTTCTGTGCATTTAATCAAGATGCTTTGTATTTTTAAGTTCACTCTTCAGATAAAGTTGAAGAGTTAATACACAAACATGTAAAACCAGTTAATACTGTGCTGTGAGGTTTTTTCAAAGTTACAGAACTACGTCAAATTATAAATACAGGAGCTATTCTATAAGCTCTCTTTACCAACTTTTATTTCAGTATTCACATAAATTGATTCTTTAAAAATTAGTTTATTAGGATTTAAACCAATTTACACAAAACAATAAATATTAAAGGAGTGGATGTACTATTCTCGTTTACAAATTCAACAAACTGAGTAAAATAATATTTGGTAAATTAACAGAATTTTGTACATTTTCACTAGAGTAAACGTTATACTTGCACATTTTCAGAAGAACTAAAAGTTTAACACTCTACATTTCTACTATTACTTATTAGGACATGAAATTATACGGAAATTTTCCCATAACAATTTATTTTTACTTATCTTCCCAGAAGACAAGACACCCTAAAGCTTCATGCAAGTGTTTCTGGATAGTAATGATAAAAGAATATTTAAATAAGCAATATAAAACATACCATTGTTGATAATGAAAAATGATTAAAATTATGTCATTTGTAATTGGCACTCAGAGCAAACAAAAAGTTTAAGGTTTTGGGTTCTACTACTCTGTGCAAATTTCTTCGAAGTATGCACACATGCACAGAAAACCCTGCCAATATTCAGCTGAGTTTCCATGAACTTCACTTTAGTAGAGTTTATGTGCATTTAAAGGAGCAAAAATAATAATCCCAACTAAAGAAAGAGGGAAGGAGAATTTTCTCATTTGCTTTCTTTTTTCCTGTATTTTTCTACTTCTAATACCCGTTTCAGCAGAGTAAACCACAAACAGTCAGAAAAGCTCAACTTCGTAAGAAATTGTTTCTTCTTTTAGAAAACCTTTTTATTCTTCATAGTTAACTTCTAAAAGCTACAAGCATATGAGATTTCTTTTTCACAATGCCTGTAAAAGAACCATGCTCTCCTTGCACTGTCTTTGCACAGTCACGGGAAAATAAACTGTTCCTACACTGATTTTAAACATAATATCAATCAAATCCTCATTATACAGTAGTTGAGTTTTGCTATACATGAATATTTATTCTTACTCTGATCGCAATCGAGCTTCCATTCCATCTGGAAGGAACAGTTTGATTGTGGAGACTATACATCCATGGGTAACTGGAAAGAAACAAATACTAAGTCATCATGATTCACTACTATTGAATTGTAAATTCAACAGTTAATGTTATAGTAACAATCAAACCATGCTAAGAAACCCTGAGACAGGCAAAGAAGAAGAGGCATGAACACCTTCAAGCACCAGTGCCTGGGTTTGCCTTCCTGAGTCTCCTCTGGAGACAGGAAACTTCAGCGTTACAAACTCCAAGGGGCTCTGCTGCGTACTTAGTCCTGGCTGTGGAGCACTTCCAATTCTTCCACGTGCAGAAGAAATACCTGAAACCTGTCTTTTCTATAGTAATTTAAAAAGTTATTGGTGTGTTTTGAACCTAAAATGAGGAAGGAGGAATGCATCTTACCTGAGCTAGGTAAAGGGAATGCAGAGGTATAAACAAAATAACGAGCCACCTTTTTGACAAGATTCCTACAAGCACATCCAGGGACAAAAGGCAACACACTCAACTTGTGTCATTGACACAAGTTCAACATCTGGAACTTGCCAAGTAGTTGTTATTTACAAACAAGGATCAAAAAGGAAATGCAGAGGAAGTGTGTAGGAACCACTGAGAAGTACATCCTCTCTAACACCATAAGCAGCATTATTCAAGACAAAACATCTCTATTTTGGGATACTTGTGCACATCTAATGCACAGCCCTAGATGGCCTCTCATTTCAGAAGAGGAAAACTTGTTTCTCAAGGACTAAATTCAAGATTCTTTGAACTCCAGAGAGATTCTAAGGAATAAGAGGAGGAAATGCAATATTTGATTTCTACATCAAGCTTTCTTCACAATGTTTCCCGAATATGTTACTGATACCGGTTTCAATGTCTTTGCAAACAGTTAAATTATGTCTGAGTTTTAGTTGGTTTTTTCCTTGTATGGTTCTATGAATTGGGAAGTAAAAATTATTTCTGGATACATGGAAAGATACATTGTACCCAAAAGACCACCACAAGAGAGATACAAATGAGTATGTGGTCACCTGTCATATACTACTATACCTCAAGCACCCATCAACGTACAAAATAGCTGCTCTACTTTCACAGTTATTAATATCAGCAAAACAGTTAATCTAGCTTTGAAAAAAAGGGCAATGGGCATTTTAGGACATCGGTAATACTCCGGGGAAATGAGACAAGTCTTTGAGGAAGCTACCTCAATAGAATCTAAAAATACAGGAGAAATGATCCAACTAAGCCGAGTTGTTTTTAACCTTTATCCATAGCTAAAAGCTAATGCTTTGGAGACACATCCTCCTGGCTACAGCACCTTGTTTTTTCAAGCTGATCTGGTAAAGTATTACACTTATGTGCCAGGGCAAAATAGATTAATCTGCAAGGTTTGGGCTCTTTATTTATAATGAAACAAATCCATTCTTGCAAAAACATTTAAAAATTACATTATATAAAGTAATATTAGCTGTAGCTAATATTACATATTACAGGCTGTAGCCTGTAATACATAGCTTTCACAATGAAGAATCTTCAAGAGGAAATTAGTGATTTCAATAAGAAAACATTAGAGTATCTGAAATTAAATACCAACAGACACCTTTGCCTTTGGGTCACATATCAGGTAGGTCTAATGTGAGATTACATAATTGTGAAGTTTTTCTGTCAACACCTGGACAGGGAAAAAAAAAAAAATCCCCTAAAAGCTGCAGGAGCTTTATTTGTGTAAAATACTACGATATAAAGAGCATTTAGCAAAAGACAGTGACTGGGAAAAGGTACCAAGCATTTTGATAAATTTATAAAATAAAAACAATAAGAAAGAAAAAACCGACCCAAACCCCGCAGTCTGACCTTTAGCTATCAGTTAATTGTAATTGCAAAAATAATGAGAAAGCCTACGGGAAAGGGAAAGCGACACAGAAAACACGACTACAGCGCTGACTGCACAGGACAGCAGCAACCGTTTAAACTGAGGTCTATGCCAAGGCAAGGCAGCGAAGCAAGCTCTGGTTTCCCCAAGGGACTGAGCCATCCCCGTTCCCCGCTCCCGGCTCCCGATCCCGCTCACCTCGCGCGCTCCGCGGGGCCGCCGCTCCCGCCCGGCACCGGCACAGCGCCCGCGCCGCCGCCAGGGGGCGCCACAGCGCCGGACACGCGGGGCCCGGCGGCGCCTCCCCGAGAACCGCCCAGGGCGGGAAACCCCGGGCCCACAGGGACACCCCCGGCCCACAGCCATGGAGGGACCCCCGGCCCACAGGGACACCCCCGGCCCACAGGGACACCCCCGGCCCACAGCCATGGAGGGACCCCCGGCCCACAGGGACACCCCCGGCCCACAGGGACACCCCCGGCCCACAGCCATGGAGGGACCCCCGGCCCACAGGGACACCCCCGGCCCAGAGCCATGGAGGGACCCCCGGCCCACAGCCATGGAGTGAGTGACTTATGGCCATGGAGTGACCCCCGGCCATGGAGTGACCCCCATCCCACAGCCACGGAATGAACCCCCATCCCACAGCCACGGAGTGAACCCCATCCCACAGCCACGGAGTGAACCCCATCCCACAGCCACGGAGTGAACCCCGGCCCACAGCCATGGAGTGACCCCCATCCCACAGCCATGGAGTGACCCCCATCCCACAGCCATGGAGTGACCCTCGGCCGTGGAGTGACCCTCGGCCCACAGCCATGGAGTGACATCTCACTCCCCACGGAGTGAAACACCTGCCCCACATCCACAGCTCCCACCATGGAGTTACACCCCACCCCACTCCCACCACGGACTTAAACCCTGCTCTTGCTCAACTTGCTGTACCACACTCCAGTCATGAGCTCTGCACCCCTCCGAAACATGGTGCTGCCTCACACTTCACCTCACCACTCCAAACCCTTCCAAGAGCTGCCTTGAACCCCAATGGATTATGCTGCACAGGGAGCACAACGGGAACATGGAAAACATTTCTGTTTGTCTCAATTTTTGCTTCCTAGAGAAAGAATTCACAAGTGACGGTCTGGGTTTACTCTTCCCTCATTAGTGCAGTAACAGCAGCCTTGGTAGCCACTATCGAGCCCTGAGGAGCCCCTCACACCCCTGAGGGTCTGTGCACCACCCCACAGAACACACTGGGCTCCTCACTGCACAGGCTCCCTCAAACACCCCATGATAGAAGAGATGTTCGAAAGAGTCCAAACCTGACTAGAAAAAAAGTACATAAACTGTATTTGAACTAAATCATCTGGTATTATTTGACCCTGCTTTGCAAGGCTGCTCCTCCTTTCCAGGCAGGGAAATACCACCAGTTAACTCTTGGAGTGCTCTGGTGCTGACTGGAAAAATTAACAAGTGCTAAAAGAATATAAACCACACTAACACAGAGAAAAGTGCAGCAAGATGTTAATAGCTAAGTGCTGTTTTAAGGAGAGGGAAATGGCCAGGCCTCTGCGCTTGTCAGTAATACAGCAAGTGGACAAATAAGGAAGCAGGAGGCATGGAAACACTTCTCCAGGGCCCGCTATTGACTTTGGCTGCACAGCAGGAAGCTGAGGAATCAGTGCTCATACCTGATAACCTGAAAAATCACATACTGAACATGCCACTACTTTAATGAACCAAATCCAGATCACATTTGCAAGGAAATTATTTACTAAGATAGAGCCTGAACAATAAAATAAATGTATTCTAGCAATATTGACACAATTCAGAATTTACATAGACAAGTACACTCTGCCTATCCTGTCATTACCTTATAATTACACCCAGCAGAATGCTGAAATGTCTTGTGCAAGTAAGGCATTATGTAAATAACAAAATGCAAAGTGGTTTTAAAGGGAATCACTAATTTAAAAACTACTTTCGTGTCTGTTTCATGACTAGATTAGATTAACAGGAACATCTAAGACTCCTGAAATGAACTGGTGAAAAAACTGTGTCTGTATGCATTCCAGTGGCATTCATGGGTAAACACCCAAACTGTGATGCAGCTCTTTTGTGCCTCAGCATGACGATATGATCTCCCTTCACTGCTTGGGGGAGCACAGAGAGCGAGGAAAGCAAACCTGTATGCTCTTCCTCATTAGCAAGCTCAACACATTCATCAGTAACATGAGCACAGCTCCCATCTTCAAAGCTTGAGAAAAGGACAAGGAAGGCTGCACAATCTGATCACTCATTACACAAATGACAGGTCACTGGGATGGTGTTTTGTAAAACCACTGGAAAGAACTATTACTGGCAAGAATTCATGGCAAGGATTTTGCTTACCATGAACTTTCCACAAACTTTCCCATAAACTAACTGCAAATAATTGCTGATAAAAACAAGTAAAATCTAATTTTTCTTCCAACTAAATCTTATAATTAAAATTGTTTTAGTCTAAATACACTTGAACAAATTCAGCTTCTCTGAGTGAAGGGCAGCATCTCATCAAATTAACAGTTCCAGGTTCATCAGATGCAATGTATTCCTTTGATTTCTTCCATGTGTACTGCTAGTATTCATAAATATTTGCAATCACTTCTCATGGAAACATTTTAATTAACTCCCAGACAATTTCAACTTGACGTCCTGGAGTTGAATCTTTGCAACATCATCTTTGAGAAAAGTGAAACAACGTGATGAGACCTTCACTACAATGAATCACTCAGAAATACTACAGCTCCACAAGCTCTCCATGACAAAACATTTCACCACAACCATTGCTTAACAATGTTTTCTTTAACCTTCATTAACCTTCCTCTGATACTTCAGAGTTGAGAACTATAACCTACTTGGCTAAAGACAAAATCATGAGTAACAGACGGAGCAGGCACTGTCTTCTTGTTTTGTTCACTTAATGCCCTTAAAAAAATTCTACTGTTGTACTATGGATTGGTTTGTTGGGCTTTGGAGGGGCTACAATGGGAATACTATTTACTTTTAAACACTGAATTGCAATAAGATGTTCTAAATAAACACACTTGAAAAAACAGAAAATGATCCATACCCTTACCTTTCCGCGTGTTCTCCGTCACATCTACACCAAACTGGATGATGTCACCTGACATTATTTCACATGGTGGGCTTTCCTCAGATCCTCTACTCAGTCTCTGACTATTAATAAAGGTACCATTACTACTTTTAGTGTCTTGAAGATAGAACTGTAAAAACAAACAAAAAGAATAGTAAAATATCTGTGAAAATAAGACAACTATGATGAAACATAAGCTCAAGTAGAATTTTATTTGCTAGAAAATATAACCTGATCTCCCAGTATAGAAGAGAATAAATGTGTCAAACTCAAAACACCCTCCTCAGGATGCAACACCTTCCCATTATCAAGAAATATTTGTATTTGTTTTTTAGCTGTTTAACATACAATTGAATTCTAGTAAATACATTAGGGAAATAATTGCTACAAACTATACTTGAACAACTGCCTGCACAGAAAGGAACAGACACCATTAGCAACAATACCTTTTGTCACATATATGTAAGAATTTATATTTATGTTGGTCAACACACAAAAATTCTAACTGCTCATACAGTTAAGGTAACTGTTCCACGACAAACTTGTTGTAGGGAAGATTAGCACTGAGGACATAAGGAAAAGCTTTATCAGAAGACAGAATTCAGGAATCATAAGACCATGGTGAAACTAAGGGAAAACAACAGGCTGCTTTTACCTCTCAGTCAACACTAGTTCATGCCACTAAGTTAATCTCAAGATTGCTGCATCAAGTGCCTTTGTAAATATCCATTTGTAGAGTTAATTAAATGTTAATAGCAACTTATTGAATCTGAAACTGCTTATGACACAAGACTCGTAGTCAAAACTGCTGCATCCCAGAACAGGCTACAAATGAGTCACCTGGCAGGAGACTGGAGTCTCTGGCTAAGACCTCATGAGCAGAGGGCATCAAAGAGGGGACTGGGATGTTACGAACTAGCCAGGTGTAACTACTGAAATGAGTCAGTCACAGCAGTTCAAGCTGACAACAGTTACTACAGAAACTTGGTGGGATGGTAGAAATCCCTGGCTTCCTGCACTCATAAAGGATCTCATCAAGTCCCAAAGCAGGCATAAGGTTGGGGGAAGATATTGCCTTCAGAGAAATGAATGTATTCCCACGTTTTGCTTACAGAAGCAATTGACTCCTTTTTTTTTCAGGATTCCATGCAGAATTTGGCATGCTTTTATTTGCCCCTATTATTGCACTCCTCAAAGAAAGTGATACATAACTCAAAACCACAGTGTCGAGGGAAAAGGTGGGTTTAGAATGTAGTGAGAGCCCAGCACCAGGGCTCTTCAGATCTTATACTGGAAAATGACACCAAGTATGTGAGACATCTTATATGCTTACCCCAAGTAGCATAAAGCAGCAGCCCTAACTGGAGAGCTTGAATTGCATTCTGTCCAGGACATGGGACTCAGTGCAGTAATCAAGGGGAATGCCAGCACAGGAAAGCTCAGATAGGTGTATGAAGTGATAGAATGAAAAGCAGTATGTGAAAGAATTTTTTTTTACCCCAACTGATATGCTTTAGATCTTAAATTGAAGGAAGAGAAAATAAAGATGAAGGTAAACACAAATTAAGGATAACAAATTATGACTGCATTCACTGCATTAATAATCAGACCCACCCTACTCTAAGTAATACTCTCCATATTATGAAATACTATCTATTAATATAATAGTATATAATATAGCTTTTATAATAGTTATACATTTAAAAGCCAATCAAATTAATTAGCTTGTTAATTTAATAGTCTGAAAGGACTGAACCCTCTCATGATTCAGTGCACAGATAATTATTTTTTGCTTCCTGTTTGTTTTCAATCAGCCTTCTGCTTCATTTGAAAATTCTTCTGTTATGAAAAAGTGAGTCACAGGCAAGGAGAAACAAATACTGTGCTTATTTACTTTTCCCCACCCTTTTCTTCCCTATGCATAATACCTGTCTTTTATCCCTCCCAACTTTTTGATTAATCACTGCCCCTTGCAAACACACTTCTGCAGAATCTGCAAACAGGGCACAGGCGAGACAGCACAAGGAAATATAGGAGAGTGACCACAGGAAAAGAAGCACAACACAGCATCTGCTACACAAAATTCACAAAATAGGAGCAGACACAAAATTCAAACTGCAAAATGAAATTCATAAACAAATGGCCACAGAAAATACAAATTATATTATACTTAATATTATATAACTGGTGTCCAGTAAGTGCATACTACTGAACTGCACTATGTACATTTTAGGAAAGTGATAATCTTCAAGTCTTTTCATTCTGTTTGTAAATACTCTTCTTCCCTTTTCATTCTGTTTGTAAATACTCTTCTTCCTGCATCTAGTAAAGAAATAAGTAATAGCAGCCACATGTTAACAGCTGATGTCTAAGGAAGGGGAAATGCACTGACTTCAAGTCCTGGCATAAAAGATTCGGTTCTCTTTAATGGAGCCACTGCTCAGCAACCCTCTGAGCTGGTCCCTTCCACACAGCGAATTCAAATGTTACTTCCATACCAGTTTTCAACAGCTCAAGTGATCTTTCTCAAAGGTCAGTCCCTCCATCACTTTTGCATAATTACCAAAGTTATCTTTAGGAAACAAAATCAAGCGCAAGCCCTAAACCAAACGTGTCCATACATGAACCGGCACTCCTGGCCGTACACTGCTATGTGATGCACTACTAATTATGCAGTACCCTCGGCGGGCTCTCCAACTCCCGAACCAACGCCTTTGCCACAGCAGCTGTGTCACACAGCGCCGGCTGCGAAACCAGCACCATTTGTCCTTCCTGCTTCTCAGCGCAGCCCAGGCTCGGGCAGCAGTGCCAGCTCTCGGAGCAGGGATGAATCCTTCCCTTCCCAGAGCTCGCTGCCGAGCTGCTCCACCACCTCTTCACTTGGAGCGGCTCAGGCGTTCGTTTAGTCACCGCAAACCAGTTTCGAGAGCTGACGCAAGTTACACGAGGAGGTGCTTCAGCCGGTACTGCCGGAAAAAAGGGCAGCGTGTACTGGCCTAATTATACCGGCTTTCATAAATCACACCTCGCTTCAGAGGAAAGTCCCAGCCTTTTTGCTCCTCATATTAACAACGAGTTCGACGCAGAGCAGAGAAGGTGGCTCACACACATTCAAAACAACTCAGCTTTTGAGGACTCTTAAAGGATTATCACATCCTTAATTCACACAGTATCATTTGAGTGGCGGTTCCCAAAGTATTCAAGAAACTTACTCTCCATTATCATAACACCTCAGACAAAAAGAGATATCCTAGCTGATACTTCCTCTTTAATAATTTATTCTTTACATCCCCTCTCACTTATACACCAT